AAATTTCAAATTCAAAGTAATAAACTATGTCGTCTTGTACATAACAATAATCCGTATTTATTAAAGCGCACACTTGAGCAAGCGTCTCCTTGAAGGGTAGTAGAGTATTTGCCATTGGATAGAGTAAATTGTCTCCCTCGTATTAACCAATCAAAATCTGACATTTTGACATAAAGTATAATAAAATCATATGACTTACTATGTATTTGATTAAAGTCATTTCGAATTACTTTCTCCAAACAAACAAATAAATGAAAAAATGACCTCATAAATGTGTTGCCTTCGAAACGGTTTTCTGTACTATTTACTTTCATCGGGAACACTCATACTTAGTATACTTATTTAATAATCTTTATGAGTTTTTAATCCATTTATTTTTTCCACAAATCTAAAACACATTTTTTATTGCTAGATATTAAATTGGTTTATTTTATCATTTATAGCATTTTGGATTCTTTTGTCTGCAACTTTGAGCATAACTAAGCAAGCCTATAAAATCACATTATTATTGTGAATATTTCTGTATTAATTGATTTTATTTCTGTTTTGTATGAGGGAAAGCCTGAAGAGAAGACAAAATAACAATTAATGAATTTGTTTATGTTTGAAACAACGGACCATGAAACCAATGTTAATTTTTATTTGATAACAACACCATGGTTTTATATTCGACATTATCAATATGCTGTATAGATATTTAGGTCATGGTAGTTATGGGGACACTTTAACTTTGATTACAAAGTTAGATATGTATAAAAGATATACATTAACACAGTTTTGTAAGCTTTGTATTGTATCTAAAGTTAATTGCTTACATAGACGTCATTTCAACTCTGGTTGATAGTTGTCTCATTGGCACAACTTTTGAGAGTACTTTGAAACAGTTTCCTTTGCGATACAGCGAGACTATGATTTCCGCTTTGATCCAAGTAGGTAATTAACACATCTTGAATTTATTAAAAATGACAAATGCCTTTAAGTATCTGGATTAAATAACTAATTTTTAGCTCACCTAGCACGAAGGTCCAAGTGAGCTTTTCTCGTCACTTGGCGTCCGGCGTCCTTCGTCGTCGTTATCTTTTTACATTTTGAACTTCTTCTAGAGAACCACTGAATGGAATGAAATAAAACATGGCATGAATGTTTCTTATGAGCTGCTGACAAAGTGTTGTCACTTTGAAATCGATCCATCATCCAAGATGGCTGCCAGAGGGGGACTTAGTTTAAGACAGGATCCTATGGGAAATACATACAAATGTCTTCTTTTAGAGAACCACTGAATGGAATGAAATAAAACATGACATGAATGTTCCTTATGAGGTGTTGACTAAGTGTTGTTACTTTGTAGGCGATCAATCATCCAAGATGGCCGTCAGCGGGGGACTTCGTTTAACAAAGGACCCTATGAACAATACATACAAATGTCTTCTTTTAGAGAACCACTGAATGGAATGAAGTAAAACATGGCATGAATGTTCCTTATGAGGTACTGACCAAGTGTTGTTACTTTGTAGGCGATCCATCATCCAAGATGGCCGCCAGCGGGGGACTTCGTTTATCAAAGGACCCTATGGACAATACATACAAATGTCTTCTTGTAGAGAACCACTGAATGGAATGAAATAAAACATAGTATTAATGTTCCTTATGAGAAGCTGACCAAGTGTTGTTACTGTGAAGCCGATCTATCATCCATGATGGTCGCCAGAGAGGGACTTAGTTTAACATTGGGCCCTATGGGAAATACATACAAATGTCTTCTTTTAGAGAATCACTATATGGAATGAAATAAAACATGGCAAGAATGTTTCTTATGAGGTGCTTTCCAAGTGTTGTAACTTTGTAGGCGATCCATCATCCAAGATGGCCGTCAGCGGGGACTTAGTTTAACATAGGACCCTATGGGAAATACATACAAATGTTTTCCTTTAGAGAACCACTGAATGGAATGAAATCAAACATGGCATGAATGTTCCTAATGAGGGGTTGGCTAAGTGTTGTTACTTTGTAGCCAATCAATCATTCAAGATGGCTGCCAGCGGGGATTTAAGTTTAACAAAGGACCTTATGGACAATACATACAAATGTCTTCTTTAAGGGAACCACTGAATGGAATGAAACCAAACATGGCATGAATGTTAATTATGAGGTTCTGACCAAGTGTTGTTACTTTGTAGCCAATCAATCATCCAGGATGGCTGTCAGAGATGATTTTAGTTTAACAAAGGACCCTATGTGAAATACATACAAAAGTCTTCTTTTGAAGAACCACTGAATGGAATGAAATCAAACATGGCATGAATGTTTCTTATGAGGTGCTGACAAAGTTTTGTTACTGTGTAGCAAATCCATCAACCAACTTTGCCAACGGGGTACTTAGTTTAACAAAGGACTCTATGGGAAATATATACAAATGCCTTCTTCTAGAAAACCGCTTAATGGATTGAAACCAAACATGGTATGAATGTTTCTTTTGATGTGTTGTTACTTTGTAGCTAATTTGTCATCCAAGATGGCTGCCAGCAGGGGGAGTAAGTTTAAAATAGGACCCTATGGGTATGCATACAAATGTTATCTACTAGAGAACCACTGAATAGAATGAAACCAAACATGGCAAAAATGTTTCTAATGAGGAGATGACCAAGTGTTGTTTCTTTGTAGCCGAACGATACTCCAAAATGGCCGCCAGCAGTGGACTTAGTTTAATATAAGACCCTATGAAAAATACATACAAATGCTTTTTCTAGAGGAGCACTAAATGGAATGAAACCAAACATGGCATAAATGTTCCTTATGGGATGCTGATGAAAACCTTATAACATGAATCTTTGTAGATTGAGACATACTTTAAACTGCAAAAATATCAAGAAAAGAAGATCAACACATAAGTTAACATGAGCAAAATTGTCGATTGACATCTTGTTGGAGTTATTGTCCTTATAAAGTAATTTTCTACAATTTCAATGAATTTATTGGTAATTTCTGTAAACTTTACAAAAGTCTCCTGCTTTTGATTAAATTAAGGGGCCAATATTAAACCTAATTTGGCCTCAATCATTATTAGGGTATCTGTTATGATTTTAATCTATTTTTACATGATTTTCAAAACCAAAGTAGAATCAGGTGAGCGACACAGGCTCTTGAGAGCCTCTAGTGTATATATAGAGAGCATAGATTAAATATTTATCAAATTTCAAGTTATTTTCGTTGAAATATCATTTTAAGTTTAGGTCAGGTTGAATTTTTCATTTGTTACAAAAATATTTCATGCCAACGATTTTAGGAATTAAAATTTTTAAATTACTTTTCAGAGGTCCTCTTTTCTTTTTCTTTTTTTGTGTTACAAAACTATAATTGTTCATTCTTTTCATAATCATCTTCTGCCTCTTTTCTTTTTTTGTCTCACGAAACTATAATTGTTCATTCTTTTCATAATCATTTTCTGATAGAAGTAGATTATAAAACAATCGTCTACATGTACATGTGTAACAATCAATCGAATAGAAAGTTAAAATACTATTTAGAATCATTTTTCAAATTGTGGACATTTTTGTTTGTATATGGCCCTATTAATGAAATGTTTGAAGGAAAAGATGAAAATATTTACATCTTTTCATTAAGGTGAAATTGAGAGGTAGTAGGAAAGCGACATGTTTATTCTTCAATCAGTTTAAAATGCACGAGGCCAAGGATTTCTGAACAACCCCTACACAGTACATTGGTACTTGATCATGCTTTGGCATATTTATTTCATTTGTATCACTGGGCAAATTTGAGAAAGCACATTTCATTTAAAGTATATGTACAAAGCTTTCCATGCAAATTCTTTCAACACAAACCAAGCTGACAACACATACAAATCAACATTGACATTAATAACTGAATTTGAAAGTCTAAATAGCTGTAAATAAAATGAAGCAGAAGTTCTCTATATACATACATGATAACACACCCGATGCTGAATAGAATTATAAGGTATATATCAGAAAAGGAGTATAAAGAATAGTATAAGATGTTGGAATAGGAAAAAAAACATCAATACTCAAGCTTGATTTGTCATGCGTGTTTCATATGCGATTTTCTCATAATAGAAAAATTGTTAACTTAGCTAAGATACCTGATACACTAATTTCTGTATCTTTTGCTAATATGTTAAATGATATGCATGATGAAGCTGATAAAACATATTGATGTTGTATTATTACTTTTCACATAACATCAAATCAACTACAAAGAGGAACTAATCCCGCAATATGGATAATCAAACAGCACAGGCATAAAATCAAACACCTGTCAACATACAATACATTCAAGTGTAAACAAAAATTAAGTTCGTTTTATGCTTCGTGCGTTTTTTTACGAAGATAAAACTTGCTTATTTCGATCTATTTGCACAAATTGAACAAAAATACTTCTTTATTTGCCCTCAATAGAAGAATTCATGACGCAACATAGTCAATAGAAAATAAGTTACAAGACATCATTACATAAAAAAAAAACAAAGAAAAACTGAAAATTGAGCAACACAAACTCCGCTTCACACCAAGGATCCGGAAGGTTAAGCAGTTCCTGATGCACTAGTAGAAGCCTCCGCCGTGATCTCGTCGAAAACGATGGAAGGAGAAAGGGATTGTGGCAAGGACGAAGTTGATATAAAAACTTCTGAATGTTTTGCCTTTAATACTATTTTTCCTACACTTTCATCATTCACATACAAAAAATAATTGCCACTGGACGTTTAGCAAGCACATTCAAATAATCAATCATTTCACACAAAGTTACTTGATAAACAGTCCGTTCTATAGATTGTGTACTCCTGTCGTTTCTTAGGCAGATAGTTACGTAATGATACAATAACACTGACAGACAAATTTGATGACAATGTTTTTTTAACATTAAAAAAAGATACACAAGTAATAAAAAGGTAGATGAAAGCATATTTTAGGAATGAAGAGCAAGGTAGTCGTAGCATTTTTATCAACTTTAAAATATATATTTACCTTGAGCAATTGCACACCTGCAAAAACATTGGAACCTGTGGACACGGCTTGACCAAGGGCATACACTCTAGGTATCTCCAATCTATCATGAATAAGAATTTTAACACCGGCAGCATCATGAGGTCCTGGCATATATTCATACTGTTCTACGTTTAGTCTCAATTTTAATCCATTTTCTACACCTAAAATAAAATTCAATGGCTTAAAGCTGTAAGGTACGGTACTTTAAAAATATCATAACATTATGTTTAACAAATAACGGTACCGACTTTACTGAACCAGATGAGCATTTCAACAATTTATGATTATTCGATGAGGCCAAAATATTTCGAAAATCAAAAACCTATACAATTATGAAGAGGCTGAGCTGACATAACCGAAAGAACCTAAAGAAGTATAGCCATACCAAGACAACCAACGAATAAAAGCTTTGCATCAGGGAGACACATTCCTAAATTAAAAACGATTTTAAAAGATTTATAACAGTAGTTTAGAATATAAATATCCATATTTTCATGCCAGTACATATCTACTGAGCTACTGGGCTGGTGATTACTCCGGAGGAAATAGTCCACAGCACTGGTATCAACCAAGTAGTAGTAACAACAAATATGGTATTAATTGAAATGCACCAGATGCGTATTTCGACAATTAATGCTTTTTAAGTGATACTCGAGGTCAATATTTTGAAATTCCAAAATCTAATACAAACTTTGAAAAGCTGACATAACCAAAAAGGATAAAAAAAAAAGTATAGCCATACCGAGGCAAGGAATCACAGTTACGAATGCGGGAGAAACATGCCTTAATTTAAATTGTTTTAAACGATTTAGAATAACAACAAATTTCAATGTTAAACTGTATGTATTTTAATTTTCTTATTTGGATTGGACGTTAAACAAAGCTGTCTTAGAATTCGCACCTTGGTAGGAGTCATTACAATAAAGCAGTATACTAATTGGTATTTGACAAGGATTTTGTCATTTGCACAAATCAAAAACCTACCCTGCTTCCAAAAAATAATAACATTAGTTATGTGTATTCAAGCAGGGACCCCCAATAAAGTTCACATCACAGTAAAACATATTTTTTCTGTGTTCCATGTGCATTTCCGAATATACTTTTAACATCTAATGAAATAATAAACTTATATATTAAATATTAGTTATTTAAGTTTTAAGCTACCTATAGCTGTTTGTCATTATATTAGTGCAATAACTTCATATATTTTCTAATGTAATGTCTTTGTTTTATTTTGTTTGTTATTGACTTTCGTTTTAATTTACTTATTCTGAACATGTCTTTACGATGGATTTGTATTTCATAGCTTTTTCTTTATACAATTTTTATATTGTCAAGTCGTGTGACTTTAAAATGTTAAACACTTTTATTGCGTCAATGATTGAGACTGTTTGATATTAACCACGGTACAAACTAAGTGATAATTTGTATATCCTTCGTTGTCTGTATTCAAATTTGTTTCATATCTTATAATTTCTTTGGATCATTTTACAACATGTCTTTTAATTCACGTAATGAGGTCTATTAATTCACGAGATCCTCTTGCTGTAACTGTACGATTGCCAAGTATTGTTTGATGCTTTGATGCCGTTGACGTTTTTCTCTAATCTCATTATTCATATAAAAAATATATTAATTTGTTCTTTGTTTTTGATATTACACCTAATCTTAAAATAAGAAAAAAAAAATCTCGTAAAACTTTTGATTTGATAAACCTAGCGCATCGGAGATCAAACAAGAAAGCATTCCTCTTGTTCATGAATTTAAATTTCATTTGACAACTAATTTCCCTGTTTTCGCCATTTCATTTTTAAAAGTCACTTAATTAGCCTACGCTAATTCCCAGGTACTAGTTATTTTTTTATGAACAAATCTACTCATTAACCCTCTTTATAATAAATGACGTGATCAGGATTTAGACGTGTTTGTAGATCGTCAGGTGTTTTTAAGATGTAACAATTTGAAATCCCTGCTGGCATGACATTATAGCAAATGTTTATTAAAGCTGAGTCCTAAAGGACCTCATATGTGTATTGTTCATATGACAATCAAAGACGATACATTCACCAGAAGTTTCCAATATGATGGTACAAGAATTTACGGGATTTAATTAAATGTGTTGGACAAATATATTGAACAATCAAAAAGTCGTTTATTTAACAAAAGAGGCTTGGAAAATAAATTAAAAAAGGAACGACAACAATGACAAAAATGATATTAAATGGGAATGTATGATACAAATTCAATATATTATAAAGTTGTTATAATCTTGTATCCTGTTTGTAAACATCTGCTAAAACTTATCAATAGTTTTCTAAATTTTGAATTTTTAATAAAATCGAACACTAATATCAAAAGAGATAACAAATGATATCCCTTTGGTATCTTTCGCCTCTCTTTTGTTGCACACATGAATTCTTCTTTGACAGTCGTTACTGTTACACTCTTAACAAATATTTGGAATATCAATCCAAAGAATAAAGAATAAAGCACAAATACAAAATAAAAAAAAACGCGTTGTAACGTCTCTCACTAAAGCGCATGTTTTCTGTGTCCAATAACTTTCTTTTTCTTCTTAAAAATACGACACGAAATGTAAGGATGGGAATACTTCCAAAGTAGTTTACCATTTTCCCTTATAAATCCAAGGGCATAACTGCCGAATATACTAGTAGTTGTTCGGCGCTTTATTAGTTTTCTTCCGAAAAAATCCTACGATAAACCTTCGAAATAATCCCACAAACAGTACCAAATTTTATTTACCAAGATATGCATTTCGTAAATTAATGTCTTCAGTGGCTCTCTGACATAAACAGTAAGCATGAGAGCACATATAATGTAGTTTTCTATTTGAATTTACTTTTCCGAGAAGTATAATTCCTTTAAACATTTTTTTAACCATAACTAAACTAAACACACTGCTGCTATAAAAATTTGTGATACAAATTTTATCAAACTTTGACAAGCAATGTAGGCATGAGAGCGCTCACAATGCAATTTTCACGTGACATAACCCTTGTAAATTAGTTTATTGATGCTAATTTCCAAATTTTCTGAAATAATTGCTGACATACATTTAAATTTCATAAAAAACTCAAGAAAACATATATGTTTAAAGCGCTTCCGGTATATTTGTCATGTAATTTCCATTGATTTTCAAACGGTCATGACTCGCCTTTAAAAATTGGCCGGTGATGATTTTTCATACTGCCTGAGACATTGCTGTATAAGTCTTTGACAAAATTTCATAAAAAAATCTAACAAGAATCAACCTGGATGCAAGGACGGACGCCCGAATTTTCTATGCGGTCGCTTCGCGTTGGTCGGGGATAATATCCAAAATCAAACTTCTCCAGGGAAAATGGATTTTTTTTATAAAAAAAAATAAAAAGTTAGGTTAGTAAATATCAAATACAACGCTTGTAAATTAATTGTACTAGATGCACATTTTCTCTCAAATAGAAACTCTATATTGATGCAAGACGCCAAAACATTAAAAAAAAGGACACACTTGTTACGACTGTTAGCTATACAAATACATAGGACTATGAGTCCATATTTTTATGTTTTATATTACATGGATTTGTTCCAGTTTTAAATGACTAAAAGAGATATGATCCATATCAGAAATGCCTAAGAACATTTAATGTTGATACGGATTCGCCTTATTTCTAAATGACTGCAAGATATATGATCCTTTTGTTTATTTACACGAACATACGCTTTTGTTCCTATCGTCGAAGACACCAACAATAATAATGATAATGAAAATTGTTTCAAATTGCGCACATCTCCAGTTTGTTAACAGGAAAATGATTTATCAATTAAAAAGATTAGTTTTAACAAAAATACCGAATTACAAGGTAAATTCAAAAACGGGAAGAACAAAATCACAAATTTACTTGATCAACCAACGAAGCGAATGGAAACGAACTGTCATATTTCAGACTTAGACCATGTTAGCAGTAATCAAAATAAACAAATCGATGAATAGAAAGTTCATTCAAATGTTCAGAAAGACGCTTTGGAATCATGAAATCTATAAATTGTTGGGTTTTTTTTCAGACAAACGTTATTTTATATGCGATGCATGGTAAAGAAAATATATAAAGGCCATGTGTAAAAGTAAATCATACCTTTTGAATGTGTTTATAGTGATTTGTTATATGATAGTCAATTATAACCTCTGTGTTGTAGTTATGAAGAACTATCTTATTAATTAGAAATGTTAATGTAGACTTGCAACGATGAAAGGAAACAAATAATTAATCTGAATCCCATCTTAAATAATTAATACGCTAAGTTTCCGGTAACAATGTTTTTCAGATCCGATTATCATAACGATATATCATAATGTTCATAGTCATGGAAATTATTTCACACCTATTGCGTCTATTCCAATACGTTAAAACTGAAGAAATTGTTTCATTTTCTGTATATTTGAAATGATATCATGACTTATTAACTATACAAATACTCTGGTTTGGCTTGGTGGAGTAATGCACATGAATACATTTACACTCTGTAATGGGAAATATTTTACGCTTGTCCAGTTCTTCAAACGAGACAGAACATTTGATTACAAGACGTTAAAAGTGACCAGTCGTGAGAATAATCTAATGAGTTCATATTTCACAGAAAATGAACAACCGGTCACATTACAATCAGAACTATTGACGTCACGATAATTTTGACTTATTGTCTAAAGTATCGACATAGAGTAATAATATAATTAGTCATTGGTTTTTTTGTTGGTTTTTTTCCGAGTTTTATGAGATACGGCTACGAACTAAAGCCTTGAACAAAATTGAGAATGGAAATGGGGAATGTGTCATAGAAACTACAAATTGACCGAAGAGCAGAAAACTGCTCATGACCACCAATGGGTTTTCAACACAGCGAGAATATCTCGCACCCGGAGGCGGGCTTTAGATGGCCCCTAAACAAAAATGTATACTAGTTCAGAGAAAATGGACATCACACTAAACTCCGAAACATATAAATGAACCAAAAAGAACATAAGTATGCCTTAATAAAGCTACACCAGTTTATCCAATCGTTTGATTCGTACAACACTGAAATAAAACAATTTTTTTAAAAAGAACACGCGACATCCAGATTGCATTACACTGCTTTCAAGGGTGATTGAAACTGTTGGAAAATACATATATCAGTCAAATGATAGTTTACCTGGTGAAGATACATAATGGTCATCTTTATTATTCCATGTAAAACAAACTCCATGGTCTGTCAAGATTTTGTTGAAGTCGTCAGGTTTACATGGTATGCCTTTCCAAGAACAACTAAAAATAAAAACACTGAAATACATGTACTATAACTTATGTAGGTGTATTAACTTAAGCAGCTTCATGTTATTTTTATCTGTGAAGTTACATGTCAAGTGCATTAATTTTACTATAAATTGTATGTTAATTGTAATGATACACACTGAATAACTATTTGTATCAGGGGAAACAACAATGGTGTTATAGAAATTTCAACTCACTGCACTTTTTCCCACAGTAATTATAGGATTGCAGTTTTCATTTGAAACACATTGTGAACAATATAATTTTCTACAAATAAGTTGATGGTTGAATGCTTATTTATTTCATAGTTTCTTGCTTCAACCTTAGAAATATCCCAATGTTTGAAATATATATAAAAATCAAGGTTTATAATTTTACATTGAACTACCTTTATGAAGGGCATTGCCGGTAACTCTTTTCTGTTATGTGAAAAAATTTCATTTACCATATGACTACAGGCTGGACATACTTCAAATTAAACATACATACATGTACACTTTAAATCAGAATTACACCATCCTACAAGGCAGTATATTTCATCAAAGGCATGAGCTCAGAATGCTCAAAGATGATAGAAGGCGCGATCATCTAGACTTTGATTATTAGAATTCTAATCGAAACACATTTGATCCACGAGTATTCAGCGGAAATTTTAGTTAGATTGTTACAAATTTATACTCAATCGTCTTTGGATCTCTGTTTTGTGTCTGAATATCAAGGCAGTATATACGATATCATTCTATTCATTGGCTCAACTAAAGCAGATTATTCCAACTCCAGTATTTTAGTTACTATAGCTTTCACAATGCACTGCAGGTTTAATGTTTTTAAAAACACTAACCTAAATAAAATGACAAAACTACATATAAAACACAAAGTCCTGTTAATGTAGGCTATGTTTATGGACCAATTTTGTTGATATAACTCATATACACTATTATAACAGCTTGACGGCGTTTATTGCATACCTGAAAATAAAGTCGTCCCTTTCATGTGCAGTATTAAGGTACAACGTTTCCAACGTGATATTTTCATACATATTATTCTGTAGCAAATCATCAAGGGAGGATTGTGTTGAAAACATTCTTTCTATGATTTCATACCAACCATGTTCTGAAGCTAAAGATGCTCTATCAAAAATAAAATATTTAATGTTATCAAATGTAAATACTTAAGTCAGAAAGCCGTCCCTAAATTAATACAGCTTAAAAAGTCGCTTTTAACATAAAATGTAAAGAGGATGGAAAACTAAAATAAAAACTAACAAAATGTACAAGCAATATAGAGTAGCTGTCTGCATCTATGCACTACAGTGATGCAAAACGCCATGAGTGTTGATATTTATTTCCACAAAGTTAAACATCAGTAAAGGCAGGGTGATTTAAGAGATAATTTTGTAAAACATTTTAAGGTAAAAAGGTTTTTTAATTTACGATTTCAAACAATAGTTTTACTAAAACTAAACTGCGAACAGACAGATAAATGCCATTATAATACATAGAAAAGTCCCTTTTTGTCTATAAATCTCTTCTTTTTAGTACAAAGCTTTGATTTAGTTGATTTTAAAGCGGTTCAACAAATCTTCAACATAAGCTAGAAACAACAATATAATCAATCAATCAATCGTGTCTCAAAGTTACAAATAAGTATCACAAATAAACAATTTTCATTACTGAGTGGAAAAGCAAAATCAAGTGTATACAATCTTTTGAACATGACTCTAAATAACCCTTTATAATATTTGAAAGGACGAATTGCAAAATGCCAATGTGAAATCTTTTAAACACATAATTCTAATGATTTTATAATGTTTCATACTTGATATCCAAATGAGATTTTTTTTTACATTTTACTGGTTTATCCTGGTAGTATTGATTATAAATATTGCCTCAATGTGATTTAAAGTATGTTGCGCATTATTTGGTGGTAGTATTGATTGTAAATATTGCCTCAATGTGATTTAAAGTATGTTGTGCATTATTTGGTGGTAGTATTGATTGTAAATATTGCCTCAATGTGATTTAAAGTATGTTGCGCATTATTTGGTGGTAGTATTGATTGTAATTATTGCCTCAATGTGATTTAAAGTATGTTGCGCATTATTTGGTGGGGTTCATGTTGCTGAATCCTTAGTTTTCTATATTGTGTTTTGAAGACTGCTGTTGATCTTCTCGTCCTTTTTCGTCCTTATTGCCATAGAATTGTTAATGTGTCTTCTTAGTATGAGTGTGCATATTCCTTTGGTATCTTTTCAAAACGTTCCGACTTTTTTTACATGTTAAAAATTAACTACTTATTCTAAACTGAAAACACGTCTACATATACGTTCTTTCAAGAGAGGCAAATTATACCAAAGGGACATTCCAACTCATAAGTCGATAACAAACTTCCAATGCCATGGAAAATACCGAATCACGATAAAAAGACAAACAAAAGTATACAAAACACAACATTGAAAACTAAAGACTGGGCAACACGAACCCAACCAAAACCGAGGTTGATCTCAGTGCTCTAGAAGGGTGAATAGTTCCTACTCCACGTGTTGAAACCCGTTGTGTTTGCTCATGTTAGTGCATATCCGGTCTAACTTGGTAGGTCAAATTCGAGGACTGAGAACGGGATTGTGGTTACGACAATTGTAACATATTCATCGTCATCTGTGAAACAGATCTTCCATAATAATCAACTAACTTGTGATGACTCCTGTAAAATGTTCGAAGGGATTATTTCAACTTCACCACTTGGAACTCCTAGTTTAATAGCTTCTTTGTTAGCAGCAACCCTCTATCAAGGTAATCATAATAATAAATACAAGCTCTGGAGTACCGTATCAACTAAAAGATATATACTCCATATGCAGGTGCTGCTGGAATGTTGCTACATAGAAATGGAAAGTTCAACAGTGATACAGACTTACTAAAAGTATCACTTCGCACATTTTGTGATCGTTATCATTACTCGTTGATCTTTACTACATATCAATTTAATGGGATGCCTAGTGTTTCTAAACAGAAGTTTATCATGGCAACGCACTAGTTTTGACTCAATTTGGAGATTATTTTAATCTGATGTTAGTATTTACGTTGACTCTTTGTATTTGGATATCGATATGCATGTACTACAGTTATATTTTACATCAATTTTATATTTTATATAATCGAACAATATTTATTCTGCCGATTTTTATTATCGTATTTAACTCTCTTTTTCTATCAACTGATTGGTGAATAGGCTGAAGTAATTTGATGTCGTTTTTTGTTGAAGAGTTTGGTAATTATAACCTACTGCAAAAACATAGACATGAATGATTCGTATTATTAAAATTGTTTTATTGACTTGTTGGTAAAATTGTCCATGAATTCTCGATTGTACAATCCGCCCGAAGCTAACGTTTCGGTAGCAATATGATTTTTATTGCAAGTTGGAATTATTGAAATGCAATTTCTAAAATTCCAATTTACTTAGGCAAGTTGTTGACCGTTTTGTTAAGACTGAGGGAATGGTCTGTGATGCGTCACGTTCAAGGACAGAGAACGAGGTTTCGGACCCTAAATAGGAAAAGTTAGGCCTAAAATTTATCACAGACATTCACAGCATTCGAAAATCGAGACATTCTGATATTTCATCTTAACTAAAAACGAAAATTTGCATTTGACGACTTGCATGAATTTGTAACTTTTTGTTTCAACAATTTTTACTTCAGGTAGTACAAAAATTTGTTTAGTTAAATCTTCTATTATCAGGAAATGTTTTGCCCTTGTAATATTACCTTAGATGTCATTGTTATCCCTTCGTATGGTCTATCGGTATGCTAGTGATTCAAGGTTCGTCTCAGATTTCAATGAAAGAAACATTTCCTTTACTAAAAAACTTTACCCACCCTTAGATAGATATCATAACATTTACTTAATGTTCTCAAATATATGGATTTTTGTGGAAGTACAATATCGCTTTTAAAAAATTGTAGTACTTCACATCAAAGCCACTTCAGCTGTATTCGATGATCCATTGCCTTGTGTTCTCGTGAATATTTTATTGCAATTATGGTAAAACATGGGTCAGGTTAATTTCATAAAACTAAGGGTTCAGCAAGTTTGAGCATTTTTTTAATTGTACAGTAATTATATCTTTATTCTCGATTCTGTTAATTTGGTGACCCAAAAGATACCATTTTCTACTTAATAAATATCTTCACGTGGAGCTAGATTATTTAAAAATTGTAAAACATATTTACATTAAACACATCAGGAGTGTATGCACAATTTTGTTTGATTTTTTTGTTTTTTTATAATATTTAACTGATAATACAGAGAAATAAATCTATGGCATTCACATTTCGAATTCCCTTTTCTCACAACTTACTTGAAAGCATTTTGATTGCAGATCGTGACGGCAGGAAATTGGAGTGTTTTGTTATAATTTACACCAACATTAACTGTTACAGGCCATCCATAGTAATATGTTACTCTGTCTACAATTTGGAACACTAAACCTCCAAAACATGCTAAGATCAGTAAGAACCAAAGCAATCTGAAAGAAAGAAAAAAAACGTTTTCATAAGCACTGAAACGATGTCAGTATATACGCGTTTTTCTGGTTTTTCTTTCACCCAGTACGGTCAAACCTTAACATTTGAAAGACATGCATGTAAAAACGCATTGCCACGTTAGGAGCTTTATGACAAAAATGACCTACAAAGAATAGCCAAATTTCTATAAGTAAACCTTGTCTGAGGGAATTGGAATCTTAGATTCTGTATAACACGCATGTGATTGAAAATAAAAAGGTCATGAAAAAAGATCAAATAAATAAAGGCAACAGTAGTATACCGGTGTTCAAAAGTCATAAATCGATTAAGATAAAACGAATCCGGGTTACAAACCAAAACCGAGGAAAACACATCAAATATAAGAGGAAAACAAACGAACAGGAACACAAGATTTTGTCTTTAATAATCCATTTATGATAGTATATTGAAGGATTTAAACTATCTCAAAATAGTATCAATGTATCTCTAAGTGCTTTTAATTTTCTTTTGTTAATATAGGAATCATCATCGTAAGCGTGCAATTTAATAAATCAAATTGTCCAATATTATATGTATATACAGAACAGTTGATTTTATGTTTGAGGCAAACAGTACTCTTCAGTCATTGCTGAAATGACCAGATTCTTTTGCATATATATGAACAAAATTATGTGTTGTTTTAAGATATATTGAGATCTAACTAAAAGATAGAGACAGTGTCGGACATATTTCAACTCATTTCTAAATTTTGAATAACTAGGAAAAAAACAAAGGATATGGGGTATCCATCCACGACACAAAATCAGTACATGCACTACATTTTTGTACTAGCAAAAGAGGATCATGGCTTATGTATCTACAACATTTATTCCCTACATGTACTTGAACCCAAAGCAAAGGAACAGTCTGTCTTATGAATTCTGCAAAAAACCGTATATCACAAAATAATGGATTAATGTTTCAGAATTATGATACGAGAAAACCTGTAAAACACAACTTTGATTGAAAAAGAGAATAAACGAAAGTATAACTTTACCTTTAAACTTCATTGCATTACCTACAAAATCATTTCAAAAATCCTCGATGAGCCCCTTATAAACTTTAACGATACCAAACACATTAGACAGGGCAAATTTTATTTTTATCAAATGTTGATGGAAAAACAAATCAGTATTCGTGGTTTCATTTTACAATTGCTTGCGTGTCAAAGATTCTAATGAATTCAACGTTTAACGAAAGTTCGTTGATAGAGCTCAAATGTATGAGGGCCCGACAAACCGTCACCATTATTCAATCAGCTACTAGTATTCTATTATTCAAAGTTTGGCGTGCAGTAATGTTTGTACGGTGGTAAAATCATTGTCATAGTTTTATGAAAATGTATATCAAAGGCTATTTACTATAGGGTTGTTTGTGGCTGTGCCATCCTCATATAAAATTGCATTGATTAAACAGAGTGCCTTGCAACTGCTGTCAAGATGTGGAATGGACATTACCTGCCAAATGTATGCCCACTCGAATGGCAGGACTAGAAAAGTTCTAAAAAAAAATACACAATGTCTAGAATCGCTTTAAAGTATCAACATTTTGTATACATTCCTTACTGGGCGCCATCTACCAAAATATCGACGTATAACCAACGAATACTGTCGATGGTCACGTGACCCTTTTCTTATTATAGATATAAACAGACTTATAACCATAAAATATAAAGACAATTGTCATAGTTCTGTTTGATCTCATTTCATAGATAAATACATATAAATCAAATGTAAATGATTTACTCATGACCTGTTTAAGAATGATTTTATTGCGAATTCATATCTTCTGATATCGGTCTTCATGGTGCTAACTTCCCGCCTGGTTTCACTTTTCTGTCTGACATTCATTTTTACCATTGGACTTTCTTAGCACATCAGATGTTAAATCAAAGGTCGCATAATTGCGGATTCAAATAAAGTTGAATCATTGACCTGCAAGCCAATAATACATCAGCGATGTTTTCTTATAAACAATAAGGAGTACTATCTACACGAGTTCAAATGAAGTGGATGTATGCAATTAAATGCAACCGTACAGCCTAGAATAATGAGAAAACCACATACAAAAAGTCGGCTATAAAAAGCCCCGACATGAATTTGGCACAACTGAATTAAACTGATGCTAATAGTGAAATATTATTTCAGTATTCCGCTTTTATACATAGTTGAAGAAAAAATTCATATTATTTTTTTGTCAGTTAGTTAACAGTTACTATGTAGCTAAAAATTATAGCTGTGTGTTATTGGCTTGCAAGTAAATATTTCAACATCCTCTGAATCCGTATTCATGCGACTTTTAATTTGACCCTTATACTGAAGCTGAATATTGGTAAGGCATGTGCTAAGCATGTTCGTTATTTAAAAAAAAGATTGTTAAGACTGAAAAGAGAAACAAGGAATCCACTACGAAGAACCATTTCGTTGACTGATTCGATCAAGAAACTTTTTTTTTGAACTTTTTGTAATGTTGATTTACGTTTTGATAAGTATGTTTTAAATCAAATATGAGAATTTTAGTCAAATCGGTGAACATGAATTTGAAAATTGATATCCCTATAAACTTCAAATAGAAATTAAATGATAACCCTGCAAATAGGCTTGATATGACAATGTAGTGATCGATATCATAGCTTTGCGTTTGTTCGCTGAAAGCTATATATCAAACAGCAATGGTATCGTTTTACTACATTTTTTCATAAAATTTTAAGCAAATAAAAATCAACAAATATTTCAAATCCGGATATTGACTTAAATTGAAATGTCGAAGTTGACTGGTTTCTTATTCTTTTTACAAAATAAAACAGCGCAAATGTCCGGGCTTTTTACTTCTAATATTGACTTAAATAAGGATTGCCTGATTATTTTTGGAATTGTTTTAGCAAGAACATATTGTTTCTTATACCTATCAACACAAGTTTTTACCCCCTAATTTAGCAGGTTGGTTGAATTGACGTTTTTTTTAGATTTATTTGTATGTTTGTTTGAATGTTTTAGTCAGTTGCAATTGTGTGTTTACACAATTAGACTGCTGGATCCCAATTATTGTCACATTTACTTATTATGTCTGTTTGGGTTGTTTGGGTTTCTTGCAATATTTTGTCAATAAAACGGACATATAAACAACTGTTTAACCCACCATTTTTTGCGGAAAATGTCTGTTTAATGTCGGAAATATGACAGTTGTTTTCTTCCACTCGTTCCGTTGATTGATAACGTTTAATTTTGTCAGTATTTATGGACTTACCCTTTTCAGAATTTACCTTGGAGTTCGGCAGTTTTGTTATACCTTTTTACTAAAGAAAATACAAAATTTAACGAAAGGATAGTACATACAGCATACTTGAGTGAAAAACAAATCTAAGTGTAACATATTTCAAAATCGTTAATCTAATACTGAAGCCTGTCTGCTCTTACTTAAAGAAGGCAAGTTTCTTCTTAACGTTGAAGAGAAACCCCTTCTCTTATTTATTAACTCCAATAATGCGAAGAACCCATTCCAAAAAGTTACATACAATCCACTGAGTTATATTGGTTATTAACTTGCAGTGAGGTGAGAGTTTGGTGTTCAGTGTTGAAGGCCTCACTGTGACTTTGAGATGAAGAACAGCAATAAAACCGATGTTCCTTTGCTTTTTTGTGTTTTTGCTACAGCACATGCATATACCGATTTTGTGTCATGGATGGATACCCCATATGCTTTCTTTTCTATTATGTCATTATTTAATCAAAGTTATATTACATGTATATGCACTTCACTAAATTGGTCTAATTGAAATGTAATCAATATCTGTATCTTTAAAACTATGATATCTTATATTTTGGTAAATTAGAGTATAGATTCAATATCAATATGAATATGTCATTAACGTTAAAGCAAATTGATGTTATATAATTTCCCTGTAATGTTATGTAATTTAAATGTGAGTAATCGTTTATCGTATTTATTCTTTGAATTTACAGGGAACTAAATCTATTTACCGAACACCTTTACAAATATGAAACTGGTAATGAAATTCAAATTCAAATAGCCATTTTTTTTAAAGAAGATCCTAAATGTCTGAGCCGTTAACGTTAGCATTCCATTTTATATTCCAGATCTTTTCCTTGCTCTTACTTCAGTGGTATTCGGAAATCCTCTTGGAGACATTCAGAATGTGTCCAGTTGCCCGTATTAATTATAACGCACAGATAATACAATATGCTGACCAGATTGAATTTAAATGATTGCGTATGAAGTATCTTAAAAGTAGTATACTGAATTTACCACAATGAAAATGCCTGAAACTTGACTAAATTGACCAATGCCGGTATTAATTATTGATATCAATAAAAGAAAAATCATTACAATGGCCGTTTCATAAGTTGAAGTCATATCTATATATATTGGTTGTATGGTAATAGTTTACAAAATAAAACAGCGCAAATGTCCGGGCTTTTTACTTCTAATATTGACTTAAATAAGGATTGCCTGATTATTTTTGGAATTGTTTTAGCAAGAACATATTGTTTCTTATACCTATCAACACAAGTTTTTACCCCCTAATTTAGCAGGTTGGTTGAATTGACGTTTTTTTTAGATTTATTTGTATGTTTGTTTGAATGTTTTAGTCAGTTGCAATTGTGTGTTTACACAATTAGACTGCTGGATCCCAATTATTGTCACATTTACTTATTATGTCTGTTTGGGTTGTTTGGGTTTCTTGCAATATTTTGTCAATAAAACGGACATATAAACAACTGTTTAACCCACCATTTTTTGCGGAAAATGTCTGTTTAATGTCGGAAATATGACAGTTGTTTTCTTCCACTCGTTCCGTTGATTGATAACGTTTAATTTTGTCAGTATTTATGGACTTACCCTTTTCAGAATTTACCTTGGAGTTCGGCAGTTTTGTTATACCTTTTTACTAAAGAAAATACAAAATTTAACGAAAGGATAGTACATACAGCATACTTGAGTGAAAAACAAATCTAAGTGTAACATATTTCAAAATCGTTAATCTAATACTGAAGCCTGCCTGCTCTTACTTAAAGAAGGCAAGTTTCTTCTTAACGTTGAAGAGAAACCCCTTCTCTTATTTATTAACTCCAATAATGCGAAGAACCCATTCCAAAAAGTTACATACAATCCACTGAGTTATATTGGTTATTATAGTTTGCAGTTGAAATGTTGAAAACATAAAATTTTAGAATCGCTAATATATATCTTATACAACCGTACGAAAACTCAGGTCTAGTCATAGAACTTTAATTCAATAAAATTTTAATTTTGACATCTACTTCCCAGTTCGAATTGACACGCAAAATACATTAAAAACCAAAAAAGAAGTGTTTAATATATGAAAGCTACGAAATATAAGCGTATTGTAATTATTATACTAGGAAATATTAAATAAGAATGCATGTTTCAAAAGTATAAATAATAATAAACTATTATAGTATTAATTAACTTTTCCTACTTTTTTCGTCTGGGCAGGATTGTTAAATACACCGAACATTTGATTAAATTATGATAAGTACAATACTAGAGTGGGAGTACATGTATATTAGACTGTCTGAAGATAATTATATAACAGTCCTACTAAAATTGTTGTGTGGCTTAAATAAACGTGTCGAAGCACACAATGCTCTACGCGCGAACGAAAATTCTTCTTGAATACATTTGTTTGCCTTTGCGCGATATATTTTAATGAGTATAGTAACGTTTATCAAGATTGAGGACTGTAACTCCCAGATATATCAATTTGGACTTTTGCCTTATATAAAAATGGAAGGTTTGGGGCTTCGGACGACGCGTTTGAAACTGTTGCATGCATCTGCAAAGTCCCTTTACCAAGCCAGAAAATGTCAGTCAATCACTAATTATTCCAATTGTTTTTGAAGAAAGAGATATTTTAGGAAATGGGCATGTGTATAATAGAGGGTGCGGAGGGGGTTTCAGAATAGACAATAATAGGCAAAAATTATATATCATAGAGAAAAATGAACCGAAAAAATAAAGAATAGAGAATAATGAGGTGCTAAAATATACAGAATACAGAAAACAGAAATGAAGGACCCCCCCCCCCCCCCCCCCCATCCCCCCCCTCCAGATCCTCATAATAAGCACATTACAAATTGATATTCTTAAACGTTGAGAAATATTATAGAATATCTGTGTCACATATGAACACGGATATATTCACTCTTTCTTGAACCCCCCCCCCCCCCCCAACCAGATCCTCATAATAAGCACATTACAAATTGATATTCTTAAACGTTGAGAAATATTATAGAATATCTGTGTCGAATATGAACACGGATATATTCACTCTTTCCTAATCAAAATCACGTCCTCTTTCCATCGTTTTTTATATTACTTAAAGCGACTATTTACAGGAGTTTTGCGTACTTGAGCAACACGACAGTCGTAACAGGTGGAGCACGAACTATCAGCCCTTCCTGAGCACCTGAGTTCAGCCCCGGCTTTTGGATGAGTTCCTTAGTTTTCTGTATAATGTTTTATGAATCTTTTTTGTCCTTTCACCGATTATTATTTTTGAACCTGGTGTTCTCTGTTTTTATTGGCCTTAAATTGTCCTATTGTGTCTTTTTATTTACTTGACAGTTTTTCCTTTATTTGTCTTTGTGCTATTGTGTTCCATTTGGTCGTTCGTTTTTTGGCTTTGGACGTTCCTGATGCAGGTAGGTCCAGAGGTGAGAGTCGGGTGCAAGAGGTTTTTACAGTGTTGTTCTCATTTAAAAGAGAGTCGAAGGATACCAAAGGGTCATTCAAACTCATAAGTTGAAAATAAACTGACAAACGCCATGGCTAAAAAAGAAACAGACAAACAGACAAATAACAGTACACAAAGCAAAATAAAGACTTAGCAACACAAACCCACCCAAAAGCTGGGAGTGATTTCAAGTGCTCCAGAAGGGTTAACAGATCCTGCTCCACATGTTGCACCTGTCGTGTTGCTCATGTAAGTACAAATCCGGTAATAAGTCTTATTCAGTATGTAACATTCGAAGAAAAGAGGACGGGAATTGGAACATATCCGTCGTCATGTGTGAAACAGATATTACATAACGGTCAACCAACTCATGATGGCGTCCGTAACATTTACGAAGGGATGATTTCAACTTCACCACTTGGAACTCTTGGTTTAATAGCTTCTTTGTAAGCAGCAACCCTCTATCAAGGAAATCATGATAGGAAATGCTACCTCTGTAATATCTTATCAATCGGGAGACACATATTCCATATGCAGGTGTTGCTGAAATGTTGCTACACAGAAATGGACAATTCACAATCGGGAAGCTGAAACCATCTCTTTTGTCGTAATGGTTATCAATGAAAAATGTGCATTTTATTGATATTACTCCATGGCTTTGTTCTTCAATTCACAGGTGTGGCGTGACGTTTTTAACTTGCAGTGAGGTGAGAGTTTGGTGTTCAGTGTTGAAGGCCTCACTGTGACTTTGAGATGAAGAACAGCAATAAAACCGATGTTCCTTTGCTTTTTTGTGTTTTTGCTACAGCACATGCATATACCGATTTTGTGTCATGGATGGATACCCCATATGCTTTCTTTTCTATTATGTCATTATTTAATCAAAGTTATATTACATGTATATGCACTTCACTAAATTGGTCTAATTGAAATGTAATCAATATCTGTATCTTTAAAACTATGATATCTTATATTTTGGTAAATTAGAGTATAGATTCAATATCAATATGAATATGTCATTAACGTTAAAGCAAATTGATGTTATATAATTTCCCTGTAATGTTATGTAATTTAAATGTGAGTAATCGTTTATCGTATTTATTCTTTGAATTTACAGGGAACTAAATCTATTTACCGAACACCTTTACAAATATGAAACTGGTAATGAAATTCAAATTCAAATAGCCATTTTTTTTAAAGAAGATCCTAAATGTCTGAGCCGTTAACGTTAGCATTCCATTTTATATTCCAGATCTTTTCCTTGCTCTTACTTCAGTGGTATTCGGAAATCCTCTTGGAGACATTCAGAATGTGTCCAGTTGCCCGTATTAATTATAACGCACAGATAATACAATATGCTGACCAGATTGAATTTAAATGATTGCGTATGAAGTATCTTAAAAGTAGTATACTGAATTTACCACAATGAAAATGCCTGAAACTTGACTAAATTGACCAATGCCGGTATTAATTATTGATATCAATAAAAGAAAAATCATTACAATGGCCGTTTCATAAGTTGAAGTCATATCTATATATATTGGTTGTATGGTAATAGTTTAGGCTACATGTCTAGTAGTAACACAAATATGTTGTTTGTGCTACAGGGTCCACTTAGGGGTATTGTTTTAACAAAATGTTAAGTGTTTATATACCTTGGACAATCACGGGATATATCTTTATTCAATTTGGAGGTTTTTTAATACTCATCAACTATCCTTTTCGTTGTGTTTTCATCAATTACGATGCATTTAGCCCATTACCCTAGGAGTTTTCCCGTCCCTATCATATGGAAATTATAACCTATTAAATTAGCAGAGTACATCTTTATGCATGTCAACATAGAAATCGTTTGAGTCTCTTATTTGAATAAAAGAATTGTGGGGATAGGCAAGTGAGGCAGCAACTAAACAAGATACCTCTAAAGATTTACAAACATAGAATATGTCAAGTTCAAAATCGCACGTAATTTACAAACGCTGGGAAAACAATTAACAGACTATAAAAGATCAAAGGCTATAAACAAGGATAATATCTGGAGAAACAGTGGGAATTAATATTTGTTATACATTTCGAAGTAAATCACATGGCAGTGTAATGTACAAAATTGTAATACCGATTCTAGACTTATTTGTTCTAGATAGAAAAACAATAAATTGCATTTCAGCTAAAGTCTCATCTTATTACCCTGGAAGATCTAACGTCACGTTTATTTTTTCTTCAGATAACAAACAGTAGTATCCAGTTTAAAGAACTAACTCACAAAGTGTAAAAATAGAACTATTTTTTAATGTGATATGCGTCAACCTTCATGTGATAAGGAAAATTATTTGTAAAAAAACTAAAAAAGGAAAATGTTAATTAAGGTAACAACTTACTACTGAACACAAAACATGTTACCACTATCTCGGGATCGCGAATTTTTTCTCAATTGTTTTATAAATATTATTTTTCTTTAACTTTTTTATGACGCTTTAAATGCTTCCAGATTTTTAGTGTAAATTGTAAAAAGTTTTTTTCGTGAAATGCTGTATAAAGTTTTACGAAAAGGTAACTAACTACATGTATATTAGCTAGAACGTTTTTAATTAAATGTTAGAAGGAATGTTAAGAAAATTTACAATTAAACACAAGTGTTTTGTACAGAGACAATGTGTATGCGGGTGATCAAAATGTTATTGCATAGCAAACCTTAAATAAGTTTTATATCAATAATGACTATTGTGGTTATACCTAGTCATTTTTAGTGCCCTTTATAGCTTGCTGTTCGGTGTGAGCCAAGGATCTGTGTTGAAGGCCGTACTTTGACCTATAATGGTTTACTTTTACAAATTGTGACTTGGATGGAAAGTTGTCTCATTGGCACTCATAACACATCTTCTTATATCTATAAACATAATATATTCAAGGCAAAATTCCGAGTCATTAGTATGCATGTTATTTTTGTGGTAAGAAAGACATTGTTCAGTAATTTTATTTTACCGGTCTTTCTTTATACATGACTGTCGAATTAATAATAGAGATTTTTATCTTATCTCAGAACTGGGGTTGTTTTCTTATGTCTAGTATCAAATATTTCATGCATATTCAGAACGGTAACAAATAAATAAACAAGTAATTTAGTTTGCCCTGAGCACATGGGGACAAAGTGAAAACAGAACATGGAAAATAAACCTACCTTCTAATAGAGAATGACGAATGTTCTGCTACATAACGAAATCCATGGAAACTGGTTTGATCCCCAAAATCTTTCAGTGCCTTGAATTTCTTTACTCTTTTTTCACTTCTTTTGATACTTCCGTTTTCCTTCATTTTCATTGAAAACTAATAGCGTTTGACAAAGCGATAAGGAAATTTCAACTATTTATTTAAATCTCCGTATCTTAGACTATCCCAATAAAAGCTGTATGATATTAGCAATACTTGTAGCTATTTAGCATTGTTTAGCGAAGTCCAATCAAGAAGATTCAAATGATCAGACGACAATTGGTCTATTTCAACAAACGTAATTAATCAATTCCGTAATTAATCAATTCCAAATAAAATGGAGAAGATTAACATAATCACTACAATATCGGATGATGAACTTTTTAAAAATTCATGATATATATAACGAGATAATGACAACTTCAATGATACTGTCCAGTATTTATATTTCTCTTTGTTTTCTTAATAATAGTGAATAAAGGACTCAATCATTCGATCATCTTTATTATTTTGAGATTAAAATTCATTCAATCATTGTACAAGTGCGGTTTTTGTTCTACACAACATTTCTCAACTACAGCATACTGTATACTGGTTTATATCCACGAAACAGTTGTTAAAGTCGGTCTTAAATATGACTGTTATTGCTGTTTATAGCTAATCAATGTCAACACATTGTGATTACAGAAAATGTTTTAAATTAAACGAAAAAAATAGCTGTATTAGAAATGATATAAATATTGTGAATCTTAATTTTGTTATCCTACATATTGAATGTGTTTTTATCATTAAACTCTTCAAGTCAGTTAATATGGTCAATAGAGAAAAACACCAGCGCAAATAAGTATGGCATACACACATACTATTTGTCCATTCGACTTCACGGGTTAAAGATGCTTAATTGTTTTCAAAACGCCTGAAATACTGGCACAACGCAAGGTTAATTCTAATCTTTTTACTTTACAATCTGATCAGTGGAACTACTCGACAGAATTTCGAAATATCATTTAATAACTTTGGCAAAAACATTCATCACCACAAGAAATCTTGATTAGACAGATAACTTCCCTAACATAACTGTATCTTTGTACTAACAGAAAGATATCACTGATATAACAGTGCAAAATTATTGTCTATTAGCACTCCTTTCAAAGAATGTGATTGAGATGTCTGAATGATTGAACTCCGCATTTACCATGTTAAAATATTTGACTTAAAATCAATATACTTCATTTTACAAACAAACCCGAAATAATTGGTTACAATCGGTGAAATCATTAAAGCATATTTCACGGAATATTAATTATTTTTAATCATCATGAATAACGTCATGCTCATTAATAAATGTTTCACAGAAATAAACACGTAGATCAAAACAGATACTTAAGTGTATACGAATTTTCAGATTTAAATTAGGAACATTAAGCCCGCTTTTATATATTGGAAATTCATAACGTATGCTAGGGTTTAAATAGTACAAAACTGCAAAAACATTCTAGCCCTAAAGCATTATACTGACGATATGATCTGTTTTATCCACCCTGGGGATTGAATCTTTCCTATCGGTTTTATCCACCCTGGTGATTGAATCTTTCCTATCAGTATTATACTACATGTTATTTCCCTTTAACGTGTGTATGTATAGTTCACACGACAATTAAATACATCAGAATTCAAAGCCTGGTAAGAAACCCTGCTCTCGTGCAATGGCTTTTGTACAATTACAATAACTTTTAATCTATTACAATTTGTGTTACACTTAGGAATTACACCAACCTTAACTGAATCGTAAATATGTACATAGATTAATATAAAGTACGGAGATGTATTATTGTCAATTTGACAGCTACATGTTTATTTCATCAGAGTCCGAAAGAAACTGATAATTGCTGATTGAATCTTGCTTTTCAGGGAAGCTATATGAGTAACTTTGTATAAGATGTACAAGTACACAGTCACGTTAGGCTAGACGGGGCGTGTAGAGGAGTGTCACGCTCTATTCACGTTAAGAAGCTTTGCAACAACTCATTTAGGGGTCCGTATGTGGCCTCAGTTTTGAGAAAACCATGCCCTAAATGAGTTGTTGCAAAGCTTCTTAACGTGAAAAGAGCGTAAAACTCCTCTACACGCCCCCTTCTAGCCTAACGTGGCTGTGTACTTGTATATCCCGCACATCAGTGGCATGTTTTCTCAAAATTGGGGTTTACTCATTAAATGAATTAGTGTTTTGTATGATGGAAGTCCTCAGCTGAAATTTAAATTAACCACAATTTCATAAATGAGTTTTTTTCATAGAACAATATGATATATCAAAATTATTGAAAAATATAGACTGGTCCATGTGCTGTTTTTTTTTAATACATGTACCTTTTAAACCATTGGCGGAAAAAAAATTGTCTTTGTATTCTTTAATTGAAATATACTTAAAAAATATTAATGTTGAAACTGAAAATTTTACTGCCACTGGCACTGGAAAATGAGGGTATAGAAGAAGAAGAAGAAGAAGAAGAACAGGGGTGGAGGTATAAAATGTACTGTAAAAGAAAAGTTACGAGTATATGCAGTGATTTCTTTAAGGCTATAATTTTGATAAATAAGTATTGTGAGAAAAAGTGTTTTTCAAGAGTTTTCTAGTTGAATAAATGTTAGTATAGGTTGCACTTTGTAAATACAGCTGTTAAGAAGAAGAAGAAGAAGAAGAAGAAGAAGAAGAAGAATTGTTTATTATAGTGCAACCTGAATATTATAAAGTATATCTTTACATTAAATACATAATATAAAACTTCAGCCAGCCAAATAGGCGTATGATGCACTGTTTAAATCGTTATTTAGCATACATACAATTAAGAGACTTTATCATTGTTCATAAAATTTAGTGTCATGTTATATATATATATAAGCGAATTGCAAAAAAAGATAAGATAAGATAAATAATTTCAAATAAAGTATATCGGATAGGGAAAGAAACTTTGCATTGCAACAGGCCACATACAGACCCCTTAATGGGTTGTTGCAAAGCTTCTTAAGGTGAAAAGAGCGTGACATCCCTCTACACGCCCCCTTCTAGCCTAACGTGCCTGTGTACTTGTACATCCCGCACAGCCAAACGGATGCCCAACTTTGGTAAGGGTTTTACTGCCAGTATAAAGAGGACCTAAGTGACCATATTTCTATTCCCACGCCCCCTTGTAGATAAACAATTGTAGAAAGGATTGTTATAAATCATGTCAGTACCAAAGTTCTGACTACTGAGCTGATGTTAAGCCCGGGGACTTATCCAATGCATTTGATAAACAATGAAATAAATAATCTGTAAGCTTTAATACGATCTTTTTGAAATAATAATAATAAAAAAAACGAAATGCGTATATAATATGCGTACACATCACAAATGTACATTGTCAATTTTTTCTTTCAATTTCTCTATCAAACACTAACCACTTTTTTGACAATTCGTTTAACTCATCCACGGACTTATTCACGAAGGTTCCGTAAAATTTTCAGTTGCGGAAAGTTTACGGATGTTTTACGGATTTATTCCGCATCTACGACGCAACGTTTACGCCGTATTCACAAAGGGTCCGTAAAGGTACCGTAATGTACGGAACGTTTCCGCAAGTAATGTTTTACTAAAAATGTCTTATAATTTTCATATTTGAGTATTACATATGTATAGTCTACTCTGTTGTTTCCTTTGTTCCTTTTTCTAAGAAATAACATTTTCATCATTTTCAGTCTCGTTATTTCTTATTATGTTGAATATATTGAAACATCACTTCGAAAGTCAATAATTTAAATTTATATATTTTACAGATAAAAATACTATCTTGGCCGAGAGTAAGCTATGAATTTACCCAAAAAGTTATATAATATATAACCCTTGTTTTAAGAGTCCTTTGTGTGTCGTCTCTATATTTCATTGTCAAATTTCTAGGCAATGTCTAATTTAAAGATGTTATTGTGGCTCAAATTTAATTTGTCATAAAATATTTGTAATTCGGTAATTTTAAGTTAGATACATGTATATGAATTAATTGAGATGTGGGTTGTACGTCAATAAGAAAGCAACCAAACAATAAAAATAACCTTAAGACATGTAGAGAGCAGTTACAACAGTAGTCAGTTACATGTATCTATACAATATTGCAAGCTCTAAATAGACCAGAGTCTATAAAATTCATTATCAAGTAAACACATGTACATATCCTTTAATGGGTCTGTCATCGTAACCATATTTTCTATATAACAAAATGCATTCATAAGTAAGTAAGACAACCCTTAACAACATTGTGGACTCGGGACAGGCACTCGATAATGATTATGTGACGGGGTTGAACTAGTTTTTATGTTACAATTTGCAACATATCTTAAATTTTTGTACTTGTTATTTAAGATTTAAGAAATGCGTTCGTTTCCGTCTTTCATTCCGTTTGCGGGTTGAGCATTTAGAGAATATCACTCTCTTAGCATGTCCTGGTGATCCGTTGGTGATTTGATACAAAGCAAAGTTTCCTGACAATCGTCATGGTCCAACCACTTTTCAGAACCTATAATTTTTATTCATATTTATTGAACTATTTTATAATTGGCGATTGTCCTAAGTATGCGTGAAACATACCCCCTCCGAAAGTTAACCATAAAACATTTATGATATGTTATTTGATACAAAGAACTAATCACACGTTGGATTGGAGAATTATTGAAGTACCACAAAAAATAGTGAAATGATAGTATGATTGATTGATTGATCGTTGGTGTTAAACGTAAATTTCAGTTCTCTTTGCTACATCGTCGCGGGTATTTTTTATCGGTGGAGAAAGCCGGAGTTCCATGAGAGAACAACCGACCTTCGGCAGGAAAACTGGCAATCTCAGAGTAGAACGCACCTGTCCCATGCGGGGTTCGAACTCATAACCTTAGTGTTGACAGGCTTATGATACTGTAGATGAACTACTTAAAATACTCTGCCACCGAGGCTCCTGAAATAGTAGGATTGAATGGGAATAGAGAAAGATCTGTATTGCTGTTTCCCATCATGGCACTTGCTTGAATGTATTCATTCATGAAAGAAGTATCTGACATCTATAAATAAGGTCAAGACTGTCTCCTATGGAAGCCGGTTAATGTCAGGGTGTAGTTTTATTTTAAGTCGTTATAACGACTTTGCTAACATGTTATAACGACTTACCTAACTCGTTATAACGACTTAGTTTACCTAACTTGTAACAACGACTTAGTTACTCGTTATAACAACTTATATAACTCGTTAAAACGACTTAGCTAACTCGTTATAACGACTTATCTAACTC